ACACTTTACTATCTTCATGTGGTTTGATTTCAGCACGGTATTAGCAGCATTATTGATATAAAAGTAACGACGATGATTGCGAATGCTTTTTTGAGAGGGGGGCGCTTGGAGCAGCATCGTTTTGTTCCAGAGGGCGCGTTTTCAAAACTGTGCAGTTTAACCATGCATAGTTTGTGAAAATGGGAAGTACAATAGTCAAGGGATTCAAAACAATTCCTTGCAAAGCTGAAATTTTTATGCTATTTATGAGATAACCTTCACCGTTTACGTATAGCATTAACTCGCATGGTTACATGACTCACGTTGACCATTCACCAAGTAAACTACAGTAAGGTGATTCGTCATTTCAACAGATGGAAATTGAGAATATCATATGATATAGTAACTCTGATTAATTTTGTCGAAAACGATATGTAGTAATATAGACACGTAGACGCTTACGTACTAGATCAAGAAAAGGAGAGCAAAAAGACCAAGCACTCTTTCTTTCGCAAAAACTATGAAAATGTGTAGAGATTAATAGTTCCGTTGAGAGATGATGTGAGTGATATTAGCCATGAGCAGATAAATTGTTGTTACATCAAAGATTGTAAAGTTTAAGATTCCTGATGGATTCCTGATGATGCGATTGACGTCATCGTCCAGTCGAATTTCTTTTTTTTTGCAGAAAACAACAAAATGGTATGTTATGTCACTTTTTGATTATGAACCAAAGTTTTTCATTCCTTATTGTGACGTTACATAATCCTAATAAAATGATTCGGTTTTCTAGATGCTTGTAAGGTATAGACACAATAGCTGATACAAGCCACAATACCTCCATTGAGATTAAAAGAACGAATTCTACCAAAAATAGCATAAGCAAACGATAGCATTTGTAAAGTTGAGGATAGCCCGTATCTGTCTTCATTGGGAACAATATTAGTTTCCTACTACTTTCGCTAAGCTTGTCATTGAAAAAAAGCAGACGAAAGTTCCTAATTGATGCTTTTCAGATAAATGTGATACCATGGACTATATAGTTGTGATAAGTTGGTAGTAGACAGGATCGTCACCTATTTCTAAAGTTTCTTCATCCTACGCCGCAGGACGCAGCAGCCCGCCACAGCATGCCGCGTCCTGCGGCGTACGCTGCTGCTGTCGTAATGGAAATATACGCTCACGGCAGCACCGCTTCGCCGGTTATGGACGTACCTCTATATCTGCTGCACGTTCGTGTTTTCCGAAAGTGTCCATTCACAGCGAGCGTATATTTTTACTGCGAACGCAGCGGCGCACGCCAAAGGATGCGGCATGCTGCGGCAGACTGCTGCGTCCTGCGGCGTTGTATGAGGGAACTCTAAGATAGGCAGGTATCACCAGCAAATTTATATCAACATTACTCAAAAGAATGAGTATACGTTAAGTCAGATACGCGCGTAGTGAATGATGGATTCAGATAAACCCAAAACCCGAGGACGTTCAGTCATGTCAAGGGTGAGGTTGATACGTTGTCCAAAAAATTGTATGAAGTCCTCACTTACGTGAATTAATATAGTCGTACAAATGCGTCTCATTGTCGCAGGATTTGCAAATGACCCCCAATGCTGACCGCCTTCGTCGAAAGCGATCTGCGGCATGTGCAGAATTGCAAAATGCAGTTTACATTGCAATTTCTCTCCGATCTGGTGAAAGAGGCTCTAAGCTTTTGAGGTCTTTCTCTCATCGAAACTTGCATGTCTATCGGAGTCTGCGAAATGGAAGAAAAAAAAACTGTACGCGACTGTTCTATTAGCATAACTTCATATCTTATTGTTTTCTTGTTAGATGGCTGCTCTTCTCCCTAAAATTTTGCTGGTATTCTTAAAACACCTTCTACTTTTTTACTTCGATTGAATCAATTATATCTCTGCCTCCCTCTTTGGCTCCTTATTACAGCATTTTGCATCACGTTATCGTTGTTTGTTCCCAGATAAGGCTTTGCTGATGCAGCACTTCTTGGAGCAAGTCAGTCACCTCCTTCAGACTATGAGAGTAGATCAAACCCGCCTTAGTTTGAAGAGAAAGATTACTACGGTTATGGAATTTTGACTTGTCTGAAACGTGTGTCAAAAGAGGGCTTAGGTAAAGTTTTAATACCACAACTATTTTTTTTATCTTACTTCCGTGAACATTTGTTGTTGTTGATTTTGAGCGCTGACATCAATGTCCTCAACATGCTGAAATTTTTCATTTCTTCTCACCTACGACTGAAGAAGGGATAATAATAGCTCTTATAAAATTCTAACGCTTGCGTTCCTTTGCCAAAACTACACTTTTTTTTGCTTTTTTATCTTATATGTGTATTATTTTCGCGAGTGAATAACACTTTGTATTTCGTTTTAGTATCTCCAACTAATTCTCAATATCTAGCCACCATTTGCACAGCGATCTTGAATTCCGGGTGAGACCACATTGTTTAGTCAATTGGGAACCTCCAGAGCTGAGACGAAGTTTTTCCCTATTGACTAAACAATCACTAGTCCTCAAAGCATCTTCTTTTTCCTCTTTACGATGGCCACGATGAATGGCAGCTATAGGCACACGCAGTGCATGCCTAACGCCCACCATCGCTTGCAACTGCAAAAGTTCCGAGCAATGTAGTGTGCTAAGGGTGTATGTTAAGGGTAATCAAGTGTGAAGTTATTGCAGTTGCTTTTTGACATTTGCGCATGTGATGCGCAAAGTTCAACTTGTTCTTTGTTTTGTAGAAGAGACGAAGTTGTTAATGACGGCAACGCAACTAGGTGAATGGAGTGTGAGAGGAAGAAGGTGGGGAGGGGGGGGGGAATTAGGAAGAAAGAAAGAGTGGAAAAATTATGTAGATTCTTGCTAATTTACTTGACAATGACGACAAAGGACTTAGGTGATGCTGAAGAAATTTTTTGAGAAATCAGCTACTTCGCAACATTGACAAGAGTGAGTTCCATAGTGACTCAGAATATAATTAATACTCTTACAACCTTTCCTCGACTAGATTCTGCAACCACGCTTAATCAGCACTGGAAACGCTACATAATTGCGCAAAGATTGGAGATTTTCAAATCAGATAATAGACTGAATCGAAAGAACGGTGAAGACTTACAGTTAACTTGCAGTGAAAAGCACCTAATTTAGGTCGGTCTTTTAAGAAGCGACACATAAGTTGGAATCAGCTTGAAACGCTGTTCAAATCTGCTTTCCATAACTGCGAAGCATTACTATAAGCGAGTAATGGGCTTTTTCCTAAGCAAACTTTGCGTGTTGACCAACTTAGGCATGCTACGGTATCATCATCAAGGTGGTGGTTTGAATACATACTGTACCTTTTCAAAACCAAATGACTCAATCTGTGTTTTTTCGATTTTCCACCACTTTCTGGGCCATTATTTAAAGGCCTTCTTTCCATATTCACTTACATGTCAATGACACATAAAAAGCTCATAAATTACTGCAGAGGAACGCTTCGCAGCTAAGAACAGCTATTTGGAATCAGCCCTCCGAGGTAATTCTAAATATATGTGTCTCATCTCAAAAGGCCGACCTAATTGAGCTTCAGTTGTTAGCATTAAAGTAGCAGCTGGGGGGTTTGTTGCTGCGCAATTCGGCGCTGCGGCCATGATTATGCGTAAGCGCGCTCTACTAAGCTAAATTTGATGCGGTTGCGACAATCTATAAAAGCTACTGAATTTGCCCGTGAGCCGTGCAGGGTAGTTTTGTAGACATCTAACAAATCAGCAATCACATGTTGACGGATTCACGGGAGGCATGTCTTAGCCTCACGCTTTGGTGGTTGGCGGCGGATCCGCCTAGGCGAATTCCCTTGAAGAATCTCGTATAGTTATAGATGTTAGGCCATCGGTAGCACGGGGCAACAAACTGCACCGTGTTTTGAGTTGTGTTTAGTGTTATGTAGCTTGGTTGTACAGTATTCATGTTGTTGATAGCATATGATGAAGTCATCATTAATCGGCGTTCTGTTCCGCTAATATCTTGTCGATTGGGTAAGGGAAGTCCGCTGCAGCTGCCGCAGGGGCATTGGACCCGCGGCATGCACGTGTAAGCGTTGAATGCTGGCAATGAGCAGAACTGCTATAATACAAGTTGATACTACAATGGAAAAAAACCGAGTAGTAAATATTTATCTCTGGTATGTACATATCACCACGCATGAAAAGTGGAAAAGTAGAGTGAATTTAATGAAAGACCTGCTGTACTATACCCGATATGTCGGAACTGTTGATGTAATACAGGAAAAAAACATTCAAAATGTTAAAATTGTTACTGTGAGCCTACACCGCTAATCAAAGAACATCGCTATGAGAATTACAAGAAAGGTGAAAACAAAACAGACCAGTCTTTTTATACATGTAATTAAACTTCCTATTGTGCGACTAGAAGAGAAAAATAGATGAAAACGAAAAGGGGTGTAGTACTTTGGCACAGCACAAATGCTCCCATGACCGTGAGCTGCTTGTGAGTGCATACTAAGCTTGTTGCCGTGCGATGTCAAAGAGAAAGGTTTAACCCCTCTTTAACGGTTGTTTGAGAATTTGGCACAGCATGTTAACCTGGCCTTGAGTACGGTAGCATAAGGTATGTGTGCAAAAGCATTTACTAGAAAAGCTAAGTTAAGAGGAAATGCTTATCATATTACTGCATAGTGGTGATACAATGACCACGGAGATCAGCTAACAAATTAGAGCATGTATCATAAAATGTAGTAAACAAAAAATCTTTTAAGATCAAATTAACGTGGTTAAAGGCGGTAAAAAACAACTAAACCAACCAAGTGACTCAAATCATACACCTCACTTATTAGTATACATCTAATACAGGTAGGTGCATAAGAGGGAAAATGATAGTTTACAGGAATTACTTCTTTTGTAAAACTTGGCAATGAGTGTGAGTTTTTTATGCGCGTTGCTTGGTGCGTATCACAACCTTGGATTTTATTACAGCACACTTATACGGTCAAGGCACTAGAACTGCCCTTACTTGAAGGAGGAGGTAAAAACGAAGGCCTATGGCTCCTCTCTTCTTGACTCAGCAGAACTGTACGCAAAGCTTGTTACCGAGTTGGTCAGCATCAAGCCATTCACGGAATGGACGTAGTTTTATCGTAGCTGGTGCATTGGAACGTCCACCAATGATGGCCAAACGGAACACTTGCAGATGTTCTGGTGAGAAGATCATGGTGGCCGGCACGCGATAGACGGCTAGTCGACGCATACGACGTAATTGCGGAACAGTACAACGGAAGGTGATCTGCAAAATACGGTGCTAATCCTCTATAAAACCTGCTGAGTTGATTTTTGGACACGTAAGAATATATGACATGCATTTCGACATGATCAATAGATGTATCAATTTTCAAAGACTGTTGATAATTTTCGCTTTTGATAATTTTCGCTCTTTTTCTTCAAATTGTGCAAAAAATCCTCCACCAAGCACTTCAGAGAGTCTTGTGTCAGCCGACAAATTTTGGAGACGAATTTGGCAATAAGCACAGCAAAAGTTTGTGAAGACGAAAAGGGGAAAAAGCCAAGAAGAGCCGAATTTTAGTTAGATTTATTTCAAGACTAATTCATATGATACTGTAGAAAACGTGCAATATCTCTTCTATAAAACATTTTCTTCTCAATACTTTCTGAATCTATATAGACAATCATGGAAAGTACCTCTCTTGCTTTCGGGAAGAGCGGTCCTAATGGAATACGTTGCGTTGTCGGGTTCCATTGCGGTAAATCACCATCAGACTGACTAAGATATGTGGACATGTTGAATTTCGCTTCACCTTGGAGCCATCCTGGGGTCTGCAAAGAGAGATGTAAACAAGAAAAGATGGAAGTTTTTGACTAGCCTGAATCCCATCGGACTCCGACGTTGGATCGGTACCACCGGCTGCGGCCTGGAATGCGAACCATGCCGGTATGTCTGTCGTACATTGTCCTGCCACACACAACTCAGCTATCGATGAATCGATCTGCAAGGAGAATCAATCGATTGTGATCGCAATTGGAGAAATTCAATTACCATGATGGTATGAGCGTTTTTGCCAAAGAACTGAACCGCACGCAGCAATTTTGCCGCTTCTTTTGCTGTCCATTGCGCATGAGCGACGAGCAGAAGAGAACGATATTCGTGATGCCCCAATAAATTGCAAGTAGGGTGCCGGAAGAAGTCACCTGTAATAAAAAATGTACTCAAATTAAGCAGTGCTAGATATATTTTTTGATCAGTGCAAGCGAGATCAAATGCGTCTGACTTGAAAGGATTGTATTGTAGCGCAGTAGTTCGGAAGTTTCGAGCAAAGCAGAACTTTTCGGAACTTCCCGTCAAAAACACCTGCATTTACGCTTTAACTTAAATCAAACAAAGATCTTTGCGGATTTTTGCGGCTGAAAATGGTTTTTTCACTATATAAGTAAACTTTGCTTGCACTTGCGGATTAAAAGCTTTTTGTTTACGTTTTGAATGCCGCTTAAAAAGCTTTACTTTCCTTTTACTTTAAAATTGCTTTGATCCCATTTCCAACTCCTCAAAACAAAGCTTCAATGCATCCAATACCCTGAATGAAGTCTAGACTTCTAACCCACTCATCCGCAAAAGCTGCTTGCTCCCTTAGCATCTTCGTAGTCTCAACGGTTCCCCGTAAGTGTCAAAGTCCCGCACTTCAAAGTGGAGTGGTTATGGGCCGGCATATGATCTAACATGATTGAGCGCACGGGCCCGCGATAGCCCTTTACGTCAAAAATTCGTGCAAATTCGTATCGACAGCCGAATTCTGGTAATAATTGTCATGAGATATAATTGATAGATAGATAAAAACACTATGAATAGGGTAGTTGTTGAGCGTTAGAAACTAGTTTTACACGGATCTCTCAGTGATACTGCCATCGTAAGCTGTAAGCTTAACAAAAAAAATCTAGTAGAAATTTTATGATAAGATTATGCTAGCAGTTTCAGAAATACTTACAGAGTCTGGAAAAGCGATGCTAATTTAAGCTGCCTACAAGCAATAAAAATTTCCAAAGAACTTTTTCCCTAATATCTTTCCAGCAGTGTATTAGATTACTATATTATGTTCGAGATAAGCGAAATTGATGAAATCATGTTCATAGAAGAGTCTCCCGGAAGTTCTGGTTAGTAATTCTGAACTTCCGACTTCTGCCAGTAGAAAATCTCCAAACTTCCGATTGAGAATTACTTGTCTAAATTATCAATTTATACCGATAAAATTGTCCAAGCTGCAATATCTCGTTCAAATTCAAAGTCTCTTTGATTCCAAAATAGCACCTCTTCTTAGCAGCTACAGCAATTTCTCTAACAGACACACATTCGAAAACCTGTTTCCCTATGTCCAAGACAAACTTTTTCTCGCCTTCTTGATAAATGAAAAAAGTAACACGTAACCATTCTAATTGAAACACTGAGAAGAATTCATTTATTTATAGAAGTAAACTACGCAACTGCAGTAAATGACAGGAAAAATTAGGAATGCAATCAATGACATTCCATCAATTCAGAGATAATAAATCAAATCGAAAAATGTGTGTTCAGCAACAGTGACAGTATGCCTATGTGGATTAGAGACGACTATAGCCTACCAGTGAAAATTTCGCAGTGCAAAAAAAGTCCCATTCTCGCGTCTTTAGACAAAGTATATGCAAGGCGATGTGTGCTGCAGCGCAGTTAAGATTGCTGTAGATTACGTACCGCTGTGCGATTACGGTATGCAAATAACTAAAGCGAGTGGTAACGAAAAAATAATCTCCTAATATTGTGTCAAAAATATTTTCATTTCAATAGCCCGCGGTATTTATAAATTTTTAGAACACCAACATTCTAGCAAATCCTCGGATTAAATACGTATTTTGAAATTGTAAAACTCTGTTTTCTTTCGTATGCCTTTCCGCATTCTCCCACATATAACAGAAAATTAACAAAGAAATCGATATTTGCAGGAAAGGTAGTTTTTGTTCCAAAAATTGTAATCTTGAGATAGTGAACACCACTCATACTACGCAATACAGTGTATAAAGGTACAGATATTGTTAAAAGTGATGGAAAATAAAGGATTAAATCTACATGTCATATGTTGTGACATTTCGGGGGTTTTTTGTTTTTTTTGTTTGGTCCAGCCATCTATTCGCTTACATGCTTTTATTATTGAATTGATGTCCTTAGATTCTAATAGTAGCATAGAAATATCGAAGAACTAACAACAATCTACCTTGATCTATCTTATCAAAATTTCTTTCGCTGCTAAATCTCTGCGAAAAACACTCAACGATGCCCATATCACTGATTTTTTTCGCTATTAAATCTTCTCAAAACACTTAGCGATGTCTTATGAATATGATAAGAAAGTAAGAAAGCTTTTGTTAGCGTAATAAAAACAACTTTCATGCCGTTGCTTGGCTTTTGACACTGCTTAAAACAACTCGCCCTTCCCCCCTCTTCTCTCTCTCTCCTTCCCCCCCCCCCTTTTGCGATTTGGCGATTTTTAGTCGACGGGGTGGCGGCAAAAGGATTATAAGATTTTCGAGGTTTTTTTTATGGAATCGCTATTTTTGAAATGGAATTTACTATGGCGCACACCCCAATAACAACTACTAGCGTCCGATTACATGCCTAAACAAATTCAAAATTTTCGAAATAAGTTCAGATCACCCGATCCTCGCTTATTTTGACTTCACAACATGGATAATTGCATTAACTTACTTGCTCCCTGCTCCCCACATTCTCCATATATTAGGTCATTCCGAAAGTAATTTCGCTTTTTTCAAACGGGAGCCACATCTGAAGGAACAAAGGTCCCTAAGAGATTTTGGAAGCTTTCGAAACAGCATTTCATTTTCTTTCTAATAGTTATGAAATTGTTGCAGAACAGTCAATAAGCTTTCAGAAAATAACCAAAATCTGCGACCTATGCTTCTTGAGATAGTCAAGTTTACAATTTTTTAAAAGTTTCATATCAACTCTCAGAAAAAGTTCAAGTAACGGTTCGATAGAGCAAACCTCATAGAATACAGCGCAACTTTTTTCTCTTTTCCATACTTGCCATACATTTTTAACAGAATTTTGACTGATGTTACCGATTTCCATACTTGGGCAGCTAAATCCTCGTAGAACATCAAACCTTGAGCAGCTTGGGTGTCGATCGATCAGCTTTTTCTCTTCTTTCTGATGGGTGTTTTTTGTTTTCGATTCGTTTAGTTTCCGGGGATAAAATCATCATAGCTCATTTTTTTAGGGAGCCCCAGGCTGTAACCGAAAAACTCGAAATTTGATATTTCGAACCCGTAAACCCTCACTTGCTTTGTAAAATTAATGCTAACTCATAGTACCATCTTGGTAGTCTCAAATTCCAAAAAATTATGATGTTTGATGCGATTATGGTTGAAGTGGGCCTGCCAAAATTCGATGGTTCTGCTAAAAAATCTTTTAAAAAAATTACGGCGAGTACGAGAAAGGGAAAAAAGTAGCACCGTATTCTATGAGCTTTACTCTATCGAATCGTTACTTGAACTCTTTCTGAGGATTAATATGAAAGTTTGAAAAATCGTGAGCATGGGTCGCAGATTTTGGTTATTTTCTGAAAGCTCATTGACTGTTTTGCAACAATTTCATAATAATTAGAAAGAGGATGAAATGTTGCATCAAATGCTACCAAGATCTCTTGGAAACCTTTGTTCCATCAGATATGGCGCCCGTTTGAAAAAAGCGAAATTACTTTCGGAATGACCTAATATTTACAAGACTTCGAAATTGACACTTGCAGAAAAGGTAACTTTTATTTCAAAAAACTCAAATCTTGGAATATGTTCGTCATACTTACACTATATCGTCTTCCCCCCCCCCTCGCCTAGCTTCTGAGATTCACGATGCCAGCCTCACTGTACAATAAGCAGTGTCTCCAAAATACAAACATCATCAACATAAAGAAAATAGAGGGATAGATCTACATAGCGTATGCTGGTGATACACCCTGTTAGATACCTTTACCTCTATACTTTGGTCCAATTCACTGCCCTTAGCTTTACAAGTAGCACTGGAATATCAAGAGAAAACTAGCGCCTTATCATGATTCTTTAACAATGATTTTTTTCTTGCATCAAAACTTCCCCGAAAAAGCATTAAACACTGGTTTACACGCTTTGATAAACAGCTACGTAGGCCTTTGATAACGCAATAAAAAACTATAGTGCATTTTAACGATGCACAATTTCCCCCTTCTCTCCCTCGCAGAAAATTGGCAGGCCAAGACAGCGGGGATCAAATGTGATTGAGGGAATTCACTCATGTAGCAAATGGAAATAGAAACAAATATACTTGATTAATATGATTTTTGTAGATTTAGCGATTTTAGTCGAAGGTGGCGAAAAAGCGGATTGAACTACTTTCGAGGATTATTTCAATAAAATCCCTATTTTTGGAGTGGAAGATACTATGGCACGTGCTTCAAAACTACTACCATAGTCAGTCCATCACATGCTGCTAAATTTAAAATTCAAATTTTTGAAAAACAGTTTCTAGACATCAATGATCTCGCTTATTTTGATCAAAATACCTGCTGAAAACGAGTAAAATTCAAACTTACCATCTCCCATGACTCCTTTCGGCAGTATTTGTGTGATATCCATTCTCAACACGTCTAGGTAAAGCGTCCTTTTTACACGACTATCGGTAATGCGTTTGAATTGTTTATTGACTCGTCGCCATTTTATTACATCAAACGGTGACGAATAGTCAAAGATGAGGTTCCTAAAACGAAAATGGTTACGGTAGGTTAGTGACGAGGTATGTGCGCATTTAAAATAGCTAAAAAATTACTGTTTCAAGAAGGCTATGTCAAAGCAGGTATGCAGATGCTTTCGTTTTCTCGGGAAAAATGCTTCTATTATATAATACCAGTGAGCCGGTAATCAGAGGTGCTAGGTTTGCATCCGCGCGCTTCGGAACCGCGCCGCAGTTTCCCGCTATTTCATGATTTTTGAATTGGCGTTGTGATTCTCAATATATTAGATTCGAAGATGAGGTGAATTGATAGAATTGTGATTTTGGGGCTTTGAGCAAACAATTGTTCCAAAAAGACTACTAAAGAGAAGAACCAGAAAAGATTGCTAATGTGAACATAGAGAAACTTATTTTTCTGTACTATCCAAAAATTCGAAGGTGAGGGTCGCGCAGAGAATGGTGTTACGGTAATTCATTTGCGAGCAGCAACTATAGACTCCAGGTTTTGGCAAATAATTGATGTTAAAACAGCTGTGAATAAGGTAAGCACCAAAAGCTGACCCCGTATCCATACAGTAAAAAATGTTTACTGTAGCAAAATAGTCCAGTTTGATTTTTTCAAATGGAGATGTGCTACATAGACTGATTATGCGGTGCAAGCCCTTTAGAGTGATTTACGCTACAACCCCACCCCAACTTTAGCGATTTTGACTGACAAGTAACTGTTGTTTCAGGACGGGAATGTCACCTTCCGTTATAACGCCGAATATCGCTGGTGATGTAAAACGAACGAGCTAAAACGATCAAGACTGTTTTTGTCAACAAGGTTTTTGAATTCATGGTAGTATTTCTAAGGTTTTTAAATTCACGGTATTTCCCATTTTATATTCTATATCTAGCACCTAGCAACATTTATTTATGCAAACATTCCAAAGACCGCACATCGCTGCTCATTCGAGCCCAAAATCTCTGCAAATAGCGCGACATCGGCTTCCCAATTCTTAGATCATTGCCCAAAGATCGAGCACCTCTTCGGCTTTACTCTTGAGAGCTATTTGCTTCGAACAAACGAAATCGAAGCATCTTTTCCGCTATCGATGTTTCACGATGTCAGCTGATGTTCGCACTCCCTACTTAAGCAGCGAAAGAGGGCTAAGAAAAAAAATCGAAGACTAACTTACCAAACATTGTCAGGCAACTCAACCGTCGGCTTTTTCTTCGTCTGAAGCTTCCTCTTCGATATAGACTGGATTTTCATGTCTTTATCCACATTTAATTTAGCAAATAATCTTCTTAGCTTATTGCTTAACATTATCTGAAACGAAACCTTTGAAGATACTCTGAATGATTTAACAAAAAAAAACGCGCGGAATCTCCGAATTCCTCACAGATCAAGCAGGGAGAGGATGATGAATGGGAGAGGCCACGCGGTAGAATTTTTGAGATATGTGACAGATCGAGAGTAATTTCATTCAACTAATGGAAAAACAAAACTAATGCGGGGGCGCGACACATCCATCAACACGTTTTCGAGTTCCGGAAATCGCTTAGTTGTAGTAGATAACAGATTGAAGGAATATATTGGCGAATTCCGAATTTATGAATGAGGAAAATGAAGCAAAACTGCAGAGATGCGAGGAGAAAATGACGGAATCGGTCACAAAGCAAAACTCAGGTGAGCCGAGAAGAAGAAAAATTCAAGCATTTCAGGGTAGAAAGAAAGAGAAAAGAAGCATGATTCATTGAAAGCGGAATGAAAAGGAAACAGGTTGATTATACATAAAGCTGTAGTATGTACTAAGCGATAGGATGTAAAAAAAGATCAGGACTAAGAGATGGGTGATAATAAAAACATCATCAAATGAATAATGTTTAAGAGATCTTGCTAATAAATTTAATAAATTTAATATGTAAATAAGGAATTTTGAGTGCGAATGGGTGCATGAACCAAAGATAAGCACTGGTTCAAATAATTAAGCCCCGAAACCGAATAGTTTAAAACAGGCATGAACATTGAATTTCTTGCGTTCCTATTTACTTTTGACATTTTTGTCAAATTGCCTTTTATCACAAAAACAAAATCTGTCTTATTAAGCAAAGAACAAATAATCAAGACGATTATTTGCTCTAAATAACATGATGGAGTGAATAAAGAGCATTGAGTGAGAATGGTTGAAATGATGAAAAAATTTGAATGTCAATTCAATGAGAATGAGTAGATTTATGGACGAAGCTATGTGACAAATGATCAAATAATTTGATAACAGAAAAAAAGACAGTGATTCGTACTGTCCGAACAACCGTATCAAATTCGGCCACCACCAAAATGTTGACATTTCCCACGAACCAGAACAACGCCGTGCAAGCCACTCCCCTTCCACTTCACATCCCCCCCCCCCTCCTCCCCTCTCCGCGATAAATGGCGCAAAACCTTCAGCACTTATGTGGAATGCTATGGATGTTAATGCTTGGTTATCAGCAGGAGTGTTGGAAAATCATCCACAAGGGCAAGTCTTGTGTGTGCATGCGATAACGACCCGAAAACCCGGAAAGCTTGTTCGCAAAGAGTGAATCATTTCTTTCTGCGGAAATTCTGCAGAAGACTTTGGCTGTTTTGCCATGAGGGGGGGGGGGAAGGGAAGGAGATTTGGGCCCGAAAACAATGGTACAAATTCTAAATTCGGTAAAAATTTCCAATCTAAAAGTTGTTTACTACTAGAAAGTCAATGAACGTAATTAATTTGTAATTCTACTCAATTCTAATAAAATATAATGCACTCTCATAGCAAAAGTGTTATTTTTTGCCTGATAAGTTTCATAAAAAATAAAAAATGAACCCACAGTGTCTGCTGTCAAGAAATCAGAAAAATATTACATTTTTTTCTAGTTGCTACTGTTTGACTGGTGGCATTCATCGAAGGAAAAAAATTAATCGCTTCCAGATGCTATCAATTGCTAATGGCACATAAGGCTATTAGATAGCGTCTAACGGAAAATTAGCAGAGAGAATACCATCGAAAAAAGCAAGGAAATGCGAGAAAAGTCCAAAAAAAACAAAGGGTTACGGTAACTGCGATATTTGCATGAATCGCTGGCGCGCGAAAATAGTGCGTATTCCCACCTTTTATATCAGAACGGAGAGACTAAATATGTAGAGACGGATAAGTACGAGCACACACAACGCGATCTGTGCGCTGGTCTCTTCCCCCCCCCCCTCCCGCCCCTCCCACACTCCTCGGATTAATTTTGAAAAAGCACGTATTTTTTGAAGTGTCAACAATTTATGCGCATCACTCGTCGAGCACGATGGCGCCAAGCGGAGGACTCGAAGACGAAATAACGCACAACAATAGTCGAACTCGGAATGCGCGCGCTGAACAAATATAGCCCAACATGCACGCGATAACGGGGGAGGGGACAAAGGGCGGGGAGGGGGGAGGGAGGAAGGCAAATTTGCCAATGAATAGCTTATAGTATGCTTTTTCAAGTTCATGGGCATAGTGGAACAATATAGTGTTTAAATAGCAGAACTGCCGAGGTAGTGTGCTGGTCACCAATGATTGCGCGTAAAAAATATCCAAAGAGCGTAGAATGTGAGGTCTTGTGCCCCTGACCAGAAAATTACTATCAGTCAGATTATGATTTTCTATTCAAATGAATATAGTGATTTATTAATTATAAATTATTACTGATATCATTAAACTGCGATCAATTATTAGGTTAGGTTGTTGCAAAAGTTCTTTCCCACTAAATTCAAAAATTTCTAACTCTTTAAATTCTCAACGGATTTGTACGATCAAAAATTTGCTTAAGAGAGAAGCTCATGCTCTTTGCAATAGTGCTTGAACTGTCCGTTAGTGTGTACAAATGAAGGAGATAGAAGCTGAAAACCAAAATCACTCAAAATTTGAATTTTTCGTGTACGGTCATAAAAAATCGGAAACTCGCAACAAAAACCGGAGCAGTCGGTATTGTAGGTTCTTTTACTAGCTTTTTCCACAGCGCAAAGTTTGCGCCGATTGAGCGTCTCTATGAAAAGTTACGATTTTCGAGCATCAATACAAAAGGGCAAATTTGATTTATTTTGGCATATTTCGGGGAAATCGTAACTTTTTACAAAGACGTTCAATCAGCATAAACTTTGCACTGTTAGAAAGAGCTTGTGAAAGAACCTACAATACTGATTGCTCCGATTTTTGTTGCAAGTTCCGATTTTTTATGACCCTACACGAAAAATTTAAATTTTTTGGATTTTGGTTTTCAGCTTCTATCTCCTTCATTTACATATTAACGGACAGTTCAAATACAGTTGCAAAGAGCATGAGTTTCTCTCTTAAGCAAATTTTTGACCGTGCAAATCCGTTGAGAATTTAAAGAGTTAGAAATTTTTGAATTTAGTGGGAAAGAACTTTTGCAACAACCTAATATAATTTAATAATAGCGAGCCATTTGGTAGAATTGGTGGTAGTATTGTGTTTACCTTCTTGACAACACTTGCTGGCCCCTAGTTCGCACATTTTCGAATTTTGCGCTTCGTAGCCATATTGTACGCGCCAAACTGATTAGACTGCCAGGAGATACTTGACGGAAAAAACGCTCGCATGATGAAAATCTAATAATATGACAAGTTCGTTCAAAAATTCAAAATCTCCTTTTCTTTTCACCCTTTCTCATTTTTCGTGAATTACTACCGGGTAAGACTGTGAATGTTATAATATGAGGGCCTGATAACAATGGGGATAGTCTCCACAAACGAGCAAAAGACAAAAAAAGAGGGCGTGACCATGGGCGGGGCCAAATAGTTCGCCCTCGCAGATTCTTTTGCGTCAGCCACTAAAGGTTTAGTGTCATACATAGCGTGATAATCCAGACGATTCCAAGATGTCATCATCTGCGCACAAACCCCATGAACTTTTTGCGTGGCCTCCCATAATCTGAGGATGGGTCGCAGTAAAATTCGAATCTTCGCATAAAGTCATAGATTTTATGACGATTGGCTCAGTGGTGACGCATTTGACATCCGATGCATGGAGATTTTGTTGTACGAAGCAAAAGCAAAGGATGTCTGGTGAATATTAAACGACTAAATTCTAGAGGTAAACAAAGCTTTGCGAAAAATAGAAACGCCATTAGGTGACGAAAATCTTGCTTTGCGGCGAGTTTGGTTCGAAAGGAGACAAGTGATAGCAGATTTTTCAAAATTTGGTTGTACACCAAAACATCAATAGCGGACCAAGTGGGGTGGGGGGGGGGGGAAGAGAGAGAAAAGCCCGGTCCCCTTCCCGAGAATGGGTCGCGAAATTTTTGAAATTTATTTACATGGGTTATAAAGATGTACAAGTGACTTGTTCATTCTTTTAAAAAATTGAAATAATTTTTTAAATATTTTAAAAGCCCAAGTTAGCCTTGTAAAAAATCCTTTCGGCACGCCCCCATTTTCTAGATTTTTTGAGAGTTATGGGACCGCAAAACGTTTTGAGAAGCACCCCAAAAAATTCTCAGAATGCGTGGCACCTTCATTCAAAAAAATTTTTTGCCGCCCCCCCCCGGGCGGAAATGCTGGGAACGCCACTGCGACCCATATATGTCTTAAGCAAGTAATGAAATTTCCTAGCTTCATGGCATCAATTATCCATGACTATAAATAGTTCTTCCTACGAAGATGGTCATTATTCCTAGCCCCTTGAAATCCAGCCATCATTTTCTTCTACAATTAGCACTTGAGGCTGCCGAATACAAAAGTATTAAGTTGGTGCAAAAGTTTTGTCAGTTTTTTCAATCCATCGGCAATCACGTTAGAATGAAGATAAACAAACGCCTCAAAATGTATCCAATGCAGAATTTCTTCGTCTTTCCAGCTGCTGAACTCTCATTGCGCTTCGTTGCGAGATTGACGAGATACTTGCTGGAAAATACAATCACTCGTTTTTACCATGTACAAATTTCACTAATTTTCAAAATTTTTGTATTAGAGTTTCGGAGGAGCCTTAGTAACCATCAGATAGGGGAAACCTTTTGCCAGCTTGTGCCATTTTTTGTAGCCCTACGGCTTGCCTTTCAGAATTTTTACGATTTATTTTTTGAAGTGACCAAATTTTACATTTAGCATATTTTAACCTCGTAGAACCTAAAATGTTGAACGCTTCAGTCACCATTCAATTCAACTTTTTCTCCTCCTTCTAACGCTTGTCTTTTTTTGCCGAGACAGGCGAAATTTGTGGGGAAAATCGCAGAATTTCTCAATTTCAGGAATGCGCACTGCCGTAACCTATGTCTGAAAATCTTCTTAATTTCAAGAGAAAATCGCTCATGTACTTCGTAA